TTCATGGGTAGTTATAACTGGGGTTCCTTTGAAGGACTCTATAGGGCTTTTAGGGTTTTATGGGGTTATAAAAAGTTTTTAGGGTTTAGGGTTTAGGGGTAGTTTTGAGTGGGGTTTTCAGTCCCCTAATATGGAGTTGGTTATAACTATAGTTACCCTGCTTATAACCCCACTTGTACCCACCCATGAACCTCCAAGTACTCCATCTGGGCTGCAAGCACTGACTTCACCTGGGTATGATACCGTACAGAAGGCGTTTGTAGGTATGTGTTCATGTATGTGGGTAGTTCTCTAAGTTAGGGTCCCCTTTCAGGGTCCTTTTTTTACAAGGGGGCCATACTATTTCCGGGACCTCAACCGGGATCCGAATGTTGGGACCTACCCCTTATGGCATGAGTTAAAGCCTGCCTCAAAGGTCATCCGTGGTTCAGACCACATTGGCAACACGGCCCGGCAGATTTCGGTCTTCAAGAACATGCGGCCTGGCAGTGTCAAGAGTCATTACCATCATGAGGGATGACACTATAATGGTCGTAATGAGCATGTTAATTTGTAAATTTAAGGGTAAAGCCAGTATCTGTTTAGCCGATTTGGGGCCTTGTGTTGTTGTTGTGTAGCCGGACTCTAGAAGCAGGCAGCAGGCTCTTGATTATGAGACGCCGGATACTTAGAGGATCGGGTGACGTAGCAGTAGGACCATAAGTAAGGTGGCCACAGCTTTTTTTACAGACAAGGTACGTAAGAACGCCACTTGCCCGAAGTGCCCAGTCAAGAGCTCACAAGCCCCCAGAGCCTAAGCCCCCACACCCAAAAAACCCTGAGCTCTCAACCCAAAACTGAAAAGTCCAAGTGGGTGATGTGCAAAGAAAGGCCCAGTAGCACCGAAACCCAACACCCCCGAAGCCTAACTAAGGGGCTGGGAGCTCCCAGACTTTGCGCATCTGCCGCTGATCCACGGCCCGGATGGCAAGAAGCTGTCGAAGCGCCACGGGGCCACGGGGCTGGAGGAGTTCGAGGCCAAAGGCGCGGAGCTGGGCTTCTTAGATCCGGGCCGGAGACTGTCGGAGAGTTGAAGGAGCGGAGCTGAGGTTCTTTCGGGGATTTTTTCTTGGGGTCCCCTAAACCCTCAACCCTAAACCCTAAAGCCCCAAAGAGTGTGAGGCTACCTGCCGGAGTCCATCCGGAACTACCTCGCCCGGCTCTCCTGGTCCCATGGGGACGACGAGATCTTCTCGACGGAGCAGGCCATCGAGTGGTTCTCCTTTTCAGCCTGCTCCCGAGGAGCCATGGATCCTTCGGGGTACTGATACCTTCTTCCTTATAGTAGGGATCCTACTATGAAGGGTACTCTATTGGGGTCTAGGGGTTCCTGATGGCAATGTCAAGAAGAATCGCTGTAGTACATGTAGTAATGAGTAGTCGTGAAACTTTTTTGGGTCCGTGTTGGGATTACGGTCGTGCACTCGCAGAGGTCGTTTAGTTGTGAGCCACAAACCAGGCCTCTAAAGTCAAAAGCTGGAGGAGCACCTTGCTTTGATTTCGACAAGCTCAACGGCCTCAATCAGCACTACATCAAGGAGGCCTTCACCGCGTGCCTGTCTCTATGTAACTAGACGGTGCTGATGCAGAGCCCTGTAATGCTGTGCACCCCACTCCTGCAGTCGTTCAGGATTCTAGATGTTTTTCGCGGCAGAAGACCCTGCTATTGCCACCAGGCAGACCACCTTCGCTTGGCCGAGATCGTCTTGAAACTCTTCCCGGAGGCTTCCAGCCCAAGGGACGAGGGATGACGAGGATTCCAGGATGTGGTGTGATCCGATTCAGAGGTCAGGTTTCGTGCACCGGCAACGGGAGCCTGCTTCAGGCAACGACCCAGGACCAAAAAATCGTTCAGCAGTGCCTGTAAGGTTGCACCCTACGAAGAGAAGCTTCGCGATCCTCGCGTGGCGAACATGCTGAAGGTGCGTGCCAAGACGCTGCTGGAGTACAAGGAGGCCAGTTCGGAAATAATAGGTGCTTACCAATTGGGGGGCACTTGCAATAGGCATCCCACGATTAGGAGAGCAATAGTCAGCACGAGCCACTACCTTCGACTAGGCGTGTCCAGGCATTGGAGAAGGCCCCTCTCTAACCCATGGATGTCCACCAACCGTATACATCCCCTAACACCCCCCCTGAAAAGACAGGCCGGATGGTTCTTCATGTCCAAGCGGCCTATTGAGGTGTCGCCTGCTGCAGCGACTGGATGCAAGGGGCCCTCAAAGGGAGCAAGGATCCTAAATCCTAAACCCTAAACCCCCAAACCCTAAACGGAGCCATGACTTCTGGGGTTCAAAGGAATGCGTTATGTTGGAGTCAAGATGGTTGAACTGTTCTAGGATGACTGACTGCTGGTTTTGGAGCGAAAAACCAGTTGCTTCCCCGAAGCCGTGGTGTACCACGAGGCTGTTCTTCGACGCTCAGTGTAGCGAGGTTTTGGTTGCAGGGGCTGCGAAAAGGGAGTGGCCGTGGGTGCTCGGTTCCGTGGCTCTAGCCCCGCACAAACGCAGTGCAGAGCTTGCTGCAAAGTGGCCAGCGTTCGCGCGGCCCTCGCGCTGCGAAAATCCGCATTTTGGGGGTGCGACTCGTGCTCCCGACTTCAGATTGCCCTCTCTGTTGGGCTTTTCGATTGCCTTGTGCTCTCGCCACAGTGCTGTTTGTGAGGGTTGCTGCTTTCGGCATCGCCGTGCTGTCGCCAACTTCCTGTGTGCCGTATGTTTCCGCGTGGTGGCAACTCCTGGATTTTGGGCTGGTTCTGGCGGCCTCGCCAAACTTCCTTGCGAGTGGTCGTGCTCGAATAACATGGGAAAGGGCGTTGGGATGTTGTGTTGGTATGTGAAGGTAGCTGAGATGTCGTTGGGCTTGCCTTGGTGGTCTGAGTGCCTAGACACTTCAATCGTGGCATAAATGCATTCTCACCTCAGTCCTGAGGCCACAGATCTCAAAGGAGCTGGTGCGCAAGAGGCTTTGACGGCCTTAGTGCAGCTGTTGGAGACGTTCGGCTGCCACCAGTGACCAAGAACGGACCTGCCTTGTTGCCGAACTCTTTGCAACAGCATCTACACCTAGCCCTGCTTCTACGCCCTGACCCTATGAGTTGCAACCCCGAAACCCTGAAACCCTGAGACCCTGCTCCCTGCATCCTGGCGTGTCCAGGGGTGTAGGACGTTCCCCCCAGGAAGTATTCCGGCGAGTGGAGCCCAGAGGGCTTGGAGACCTGCATCAAGGACTACGCCGGGACGCAGAAGGCTTCTTGAGGGTTTCCTTGTGCTCTCTTTCGGCACAAGACTTGCAAGGATTGAGGGTTTCCGGGGCTCTCTTTCAGCACAAGACATGCAAGGATGGAGGGTTTCCGGTGCTCTCTTTCGGCACAAGACATGCAAGGCTTGAGGGTGTGTGGCGCATGAATGAAGGAAGGATCAGCGGACAAGGCAAGTGGTATCGAGGCCGATGTTAAGAAAGAGAGCTCACACAGGGCACTTGCCACTTAGTCTCGGTAGCGAGCTTCCGAACACCCTGACCCTTCAACAGTGAACTTTAGTGATCTCATCATCCCGAAAACCCAAATCCCTACACCCTAAACCCTAAACCCTAAAAACCCTAAACCATTAGCCAGCAGCTCTCCGAGATTCCCTGCTTCCGGTCTTCCCCCCGCTCAAGGCTGTAGGTCTCTTGAGCCGCAGGCCTCAAATCGTGAAGATCCTGAACCTCGGTTCAGATCCCTCACCAAGGTTATATTAGTTCTCCAAAGTAGGGTCCCTTTTTAGGTCCGCAGCATGGTACGGCACTCTTATAAGGAGGATCCTAAAGAGGACCCTAATTTAAAGAATTTCCCATATCCTCCCCAGACTAACCCCCCCCCCCCCCCCCC